GGTTTGATGGATGTAGTAGCAATTCTCAATGAATTGCCAAGGTGCTCATCAGATGTTTTGGTTCAAATTTTGCCCTTCTTGTTCTTCATCTTTGAAAATAGTTGCTAACAAATTAAGGCGCTGCAGACAACTGATGACATACTTGAGGAGAGATTGTGAAGAGTGAGATATTTTTTCTATAGGAAGATAAAAGTCCAGTAAAGAGCCATGGTCAATGTTTTCTTTGGCTGCATGTGTTCACTAAATGTAAACACATTAAAGAAAAAAAATTCCAAAAAATATATATTTGCATTTTGAAGTAAGTTTATGATTTTATGTTGGGCCATATTTATAGCCATCGTGGGCAACATGCAGGGTTGGACATCCCTGGACACCCCTGTCTTAGATGATTACATGTGCAGGACCATAGTAATTCCTGGTCTAATAGAGGCTAACAAGGTGACGTCTTCAGATGTAAACAATAGGAGGGTTTAGTTCCACTTTAAATGTTACATGCTAGAACCCACGTGGGCAGTAGAGGCTCTGCTATTTAACAGTTAATGATAGGACAGGTTTAGCAGCATGAGGGAATGATTAATAATCTTGGCTTGTAGAGAGGTTGAGGTCCTATGTTGGGATTAAGGATTCAGAAGGGTTTCACAGGGACCCAGGAATCAGTTTTAAAACGAACACAGTTACTTGTAGGCCCCACAAGGTAAGGGAACATTAGCCCTGTTTTTACATTATACACATCTTAGACCAAGGCAGGTTTACTTGGAGGAGATAAAGTATGTTAAGAAAATGTTTTATAAAACCCTAAGTAAGCCTTTTTTTGGCAAAATAATCTTTTCAATAATACAGATTACCATGCTACTACTGCAGTTTAGTCTAGTTTGAATATTTAGTCATTATTATGGAGGATCAGTAGGTACAACTATCTCCATTTAAAGAGACCCTGTTAGGTATCTAAACGAAGGTAGGAGACACGGGCCATCAGACAGGTGGGTATACTACCTCTTCTACAGCAGGAAACTGGAGTTTTCATTTGTTAAAACAGAGTTCCACTTACGCTGTCAAAAAATAAAAGTCAGCAGCTACAAAATCTGTAGCTGCTGACTTTTAAAAACTTACCTGTCCCTTGGTCCTGCGGTGTGTCTCCTGCAGCCCGTTTCACTGGCCGTCCTATATTCCAGGAGGCCGGCATCTTCAGTGTGGGCACCCCGCTGTGATAGCTTGCAGCTTCACAACCGGGTATCCACTGCGCATGCATGAGTAGCGCTGCGCTTCATGAATGGTCCTGTAGTCTTCTGGGACCTGTCACGTGTCCCAAAAGACTACAGGGAGGGAGGGAGGACACTTTCCGTGGGAGAGGGTACCTGTCAAATTCGAGGTACCCGCTCCCCCCCCCTGCCCCCCATAGGTGCCAATCCTTAATTGGGAGCGAGGGAGCAGTCCTTAAAGCAGAACTTCCCCTTTTGGGTGGAGCTCCGCTTTAAGACACCTGATCTTTTTAAGCAGAGATCGATATAACTTGCACAGACATAGATACAGTGGTAGCTGTATTCAGATACCCCATAGCAAAAAGCAAAGCCACATTACTATTGTTTTGGCCCAGTGTTATTTCAAAATCATTGTGCAAGAAAATAAAATAAATGACACATAAATAATAAACACTAATAAAATTGATTATTTTGTTTCCCTAGCTTACAGTGCGAAATTGTCTATAAAGACAGATTCAGGCGTTGAGTTTAACAAGCCATATAAGCTGTCTTGCTGGGTTGGACATATAAATACACAAAATAAAAAGTAATAGAAGGGCTATAGTATGTTTCCTGGAGAAAAGAGTGCTTCCATTCCATTCCAGTGCTGCTTGCATAGTCAAAATCCTAGGTGTTTGGTCATGTCATGTCTACTGAAAGGTAGAGTTAAGGTCAAATGCCTAGGCATATAGTTATTTTGCAGCACCAACCAGGAGCACCATTTTCTCCAGGAAAGGTAAACATTTTATCTGTTATTCTTTATACTTCTACGTTTTCCAGTGCAGCTCTTTGCCTACCATAGATTTAGACTTTACAGTGCAGCTCTTGCCTACTCTACATCTAGGCTTTATAGTGTAGCTCTTTGCCTACCCTAGGTCAAGGTTTTATAGTGCAGCTCTTTGCCTACTCTGGATCTAGGCTTTATAGTGCAGCTCTTTGCCTACTCTAGGTCAAGGCTTTATTGTGCAGCTCTTTGTCTACTCTAGATCTAGGCTTTAGAGTGCAGCTCTTTGCCTATCCCTAGGTAAAGGCTTTATAGTGCAGCTCTTTGTCTACTCTAGGTCTAGGCTTTATAGTGCAGCTCTTTGCCTACCCCTAGGAAAATGCTTTATAGTGCAGCTCTTTGCCTACCCCTAGGAAAATGCTTTATAGTGCAGCTCTTTTCCTACCCTAGGTCTAGGCTTTATTGTGCAGTTCTTTGCCTACCCTAGGTCTAGGCTTTATAGTGCAGCTCTTTGCCTACCCTAGGTCTAGGCTTTATAGTGCAGCTCTTTGCCTACCCTAGGTATAGGCTTTATAGTGCAGCTATTTGCCTACCCTAGGTCTAGCCTTTATTTTGCAGCTCTTTGCCTACCCCCAGGTAAAAGCTTTATAGTGCAGCTCTTTGCCTACCCTAGGTCTAGGCTTTATTGTTCAGCTCTTTGCCTATTCTAGGTTTAGGCTTTATAGTGCAGCTGTTTGCTTACCCTAGGTGTAGGCTTTATTGTGCAGCTCTTTGCCTACTCTAGGTTTAGGCTTTATACTGCAGCTGTTTGCTTACCCTAGGTCTAGGCTTTATAATGTAACTCTTTTTCTACTCTATTTCTAGGCTTTGTAATGCAGTTTTTTTGCCTAATCTAGGTCTAGGCTTTATAGGCAATGGGCCGAAAACCCCCCTGTTCAGTTTGCGATCGAACATTCGAACCTACCGAAAGTATGTGGTAGGATACTGCACAGCTACTAAAATACTGCATGAGTTATATTATGCATCATGCGGTATTTTAGTAGGGAAAACATTTTTTAATGTTTCAGCTTTCAGAAGGGTTCCCCACTGACAGCTGAATGCAATAAGAAATGCCGGCATTGCCCGGAAAATAATTTTTTTTTTTTCTGTTTAACGGGTTCATCCATACCAAGCCCTCCAGGTCTGGTATGGATCTTGAGGGGAACCCACATGCCTTTTTTTTAAATTTGGGGTTCCCCCAAAAATCCATACCAGACATTTATCCGAACATGCAGCCTGGCAGGACAGAAAAGGGAGGGGGACGAGCGAGTGCCCCCCCCCCCCCCATCCCCCCCCCCCCTCCTGAACCATACCAGGCCACATGCCCTCAACATTTAAAACAAAAATTTTAAAAATGTCCCCCGAAGTAACTCTAATGTCAATCACAATGCTCACTGCAACTGCCGACCAGAAAAAAAGAAAACGCTTAACTGTCAACGTTGGCTCCCGCCATCTGACAGTTGTGACAGGATGACAGTTCTTAAATACTGTGATGATGTCACAAGGGGGGGTCACCCTTGCACCTTTATGATGTCACCATGCGCTGTGATTGGCCAAAGCATTGTACCTGACCTGTGGTCAGGTGCATTGCTTTGTCCAATAGCAATGCACTGTCAGGGCACAGTGCATTGTGGGGTGCGGTGGGCGAACCTATGTTCAACTCGAACATCTACCCCGTCTCTACATTTTAGTGCAGCTCTTTGTGATCTTATCTTTTGACAGAATTATCAGTGTTCAAGGGTATGTTGAAAATATACTGCAAGCATGCAAAATTAAAACAGAGCAATACCATATTACAATGTGGTGATGTTATCATGCAAATGCTACTTTTATGAAGAAAAACCTCTGAGATGTAATTAATGACTGCATTTAATAAGGGTCATCCTGCTACACCGTCAAGCAAATTTAATGCATTAGCCACAAAAATATTACACAACATAAGAAACCAGCTAAGTCTAAGATTACCTACACTAGTAGACAAGCATTTTAAATTAAAGGATGGCTTTAAGATACACTGATATGAGCAGCTGGATAAGTCTGTAGTTACAATTTGTAGTTAAAGTAGTTTTGGATAGTGTGGAGTGGAGAATGGTTAGGTCAGGTCAGGCCTGTCCAAACGACACAACAGGAAGTTAGAAGAAATCACAACAAAGTGAAGAAAAATGTCCTTAGATAGTAATTGTTACCAGAGCAGGTGTCTGTTGGAAGATTTTCCCTCTCTTCCTGTTCTGGTGACAACTTAAATTTTTTTTTTTATTCCCCTTATTTTTGCCTTATTTCCTGTTCTGCTGTCAATGGTCGCCAGGACGAATAAAGACTGTGAACCTCCACCAATGGGATCTAGATAGCAAACACATAACTAAAAAAAAAATTGGTTTTAGGTATACTTTTATGGTCATATTTTGAAGGTCCAAAGGGACTGTCCAGCTTAGCACAGTCTAAAGGGCTGCATAAGCAGCCAGATATTTGCTAGTTGTAGATCTGCGCACCCAAGTATAATAACAAGAATACCCACATGTGCTTAATGTTTACCATTACATGGTTTTCTAGGATTAGTTGTAAATGCTTATTATAAAGAAAGTATGGAGATACAGTAATTTTTGAATGGAGTAGGAATTACCAGTGCTATGCAGACCCCTGGTACAGGAAACTTCCATTATGGTTAAAAGTGTATCTAAACCCAAGAACACCTCCCCTCTCTTAGGCTCCCTACTTATGGTGGGGTGTTTTGTAGTCTACAGAGATAGCTAGGAACAATGCTGCTAACTGACAAGTGTGCAGTACATGCAGAGAGCACAATACGTTATCACCTCACAAAATGTCTTGATTTTCAGTGGCATATTTTACAATTTATTATAAACCATAAAGAAAACATTTATTTTTCTTCTTTTTCTTTTATCCCAAACAGAACAAAAAGGTTGCTGTAACTACTTAATAATGTTAGCTGAAGTTTGGCTTCAATTATTTTAGTGTGTCAAACAGGGGCGGACTGACAACTCATGGGGCCCCCGGGCAATAGGGGATTATGGGGCCTCCGTGTCCTCACCCACACCCAAAAAAGCCCATGAAAAAGCCAATGAAAGGTACCAGGGGCATCTCATGGGGCCCCCTACTGACCCTGGGCCCTCGGGCAGTACCCAAGTAGCTAAATGGTCAGTCCGCCCCTGGTGTCAACAATCTGCTAGTACATCTAACACTTCCCTCCCCCCAGAATGACAATGCTATTGTCCAAATTGTCTCTGTTGCCCCTTCAAGCTGAGTGTAGGCACTCTAATACAGGAAGGGTGTTACTGTCCAGATCACCAGGTGAAACAGAGGCCTAAAAAATTAAAACTAATGCAGCCACCACATTGAATGTCTGTAAAGCTGCAATATATAAAATTTTGGTTATGTGTTAAATAATGCTTTAAGGTTTACATGCACTTAAAAATAAACCTGTGCTATGAGAAATATGTATGCTGCCACTGCAGGCTCTTCCTTCTAAAAATGCTGCATGTCGGGCAGTTATGAAGCTGCTTCTACTTACGTTTTGGGTCACTGGCACAGAACATATACAGTATAAAGTTCAGAAATGCTGGATTTGTTCAGACTTTCGTTTGCTGCATTATTGTTTTGAGTCAGCTAGACATGGCCAGGCAACTAGCATTATCAGAAGGAGCCCATGTCTTTATCTCATGCATATTGAACTTTAAGAGAAATTGTAAATATATCTTGCAATTAGCAGATTTTGTGATCTGGAATAAAATAATGAGATACTCCTTTGCTGGCCCTCCTATACATTTCTCTAATGCTATTGTTCATTTTAAAATAGAGTATTGGGCTTTATCAGAATATATAATTGATAGAAAATAAATGACAATACTAGCATAGAAAACACAGTAAATGTATTTTCATCATTTATCAAAATTAATTTTTCACAGAGTGAATGATTTTTTTTTCAGTTCTTTTTCTCGCCAGTCCTGACACAGATATGCACTGATGAGAGTGATGGGTGATGTTTTATGCAAGACCAGACCATGGCTTATAATTCAAGCTCTTTGTCATTTTGATCAAGCCTTTTATATCACTGGATAAAATGGTACTTCAGGCTCATTTGGGAAAGAATCTGTTAAATTCCAAAATGATCTGTCTCCATATATTTTATCCAACCTCCAGCACCCTTTCTTTACTGCAACCCTTATTTCTGCAGCTGCCTGTAATACAGGATCTGCATGAAACGTCTGTCCTATTGTCTGCTAAGTCTGGCATGGTGCCCAGTCCACACATCATAGGTCCCCTGGCATGCTGCAAACTGACATTTCTTGATATTCTACCATTGTTCTCTATCCCAGCTCACAGAGGCTAGGGACAGAATGAAAAGCCTACTCACGGCACAAAGGGTTTATTGGGGTCTGGATGCATATAAACAGTACTGGCTAACAATGTAACTAATTAAGAAGGCTCCCAATCAGAGGGAAAGGGGGTCTGCAATCGCCAACAGAGAATTAGGTACTTTAGGAAATAGGAGACGAAAAAAGGTGGAATAATATGCTCAATGTCAATATACTGGGGTTGTAACAAGAAGAGGGAGACACAAAATAAAACATTAAAACAAAGTATATGAACTGCAGCCTGTCTTTATATGATTTTGACTTGGACAATACTGAATATTTTTGTGACTATGTGGACACAAAGGCTTATCCTATGAAGGTAATATCAGAAATACTAGAAACTTGGTATACCTTTAATATGCAACATTTTTTTTTAAAGATTGTGCAAAGTTCAGTGATGCACTGCATCCAAACAGCTATAGTTTTTATTGCTTTAAATGCTCTACGCTATTGAAAGGTAGTATATTATTGGTTACTAATGCTAATTTGCACATCACTATTCTCTTTGCACTGTCTTAACTATGCTAAAAAAGAAAAAAAAAGAATCATATTAAGTATTAAACTCTTAGGAGGAATGCATTTGCTGAGCCTGCCTACTTAAGATGCAGTTGGCATAAGATGCCAGTACCATGTAGTATGAACCTCCACATAGATTTCATCTGAATTCTCCATTTATACCAATATCAATATTTGACATATGTCTGAGTGCATCAATTTACAGACCTTTCCCACATGATGTTTATGGAAATGGGACTAGATTCAAAGAGCCATGTACCACCGTAGGTGGTAAGAGGCAGGAAAGGCAATACTGGAAAGGAAAAGGCAACCTGAAATAAGATCTCTAGCTATTATAAGAGGTACTGTAGGAATGAGACAGACTGGGTGGGCCAAATTGTTTTTATCTGCTGCCACATGCTATATTTCTCAACAGCTCTAGACTAATCAGGAGCGTCTCCCCCCACCCCTTGAAAATGCTTTTAGTTGTCAGAATAAATTAGAGCAGAGAGAGAGAGCAAGGAAACAAAAAAAAAACCACATGCTTAATTAAAAAAAAAAAAAAAAAAATCCCCGCTTACCAGTGCTAATTAATTAGCATGAAATTACCTCCCTCCGATATGATAGCGTCTGAAGGAAATTTCGCCGCTTCGTACGCTTGATACCAAAAGTGTCTCATCTGATATTTGTATCAGTCTAGTCCTCCGTTGGAAGCTTTATTATCGTTTGAAAATTTTGTTTTCCCCCCTCGTTTGGTCGCTGGGTAAAAATTCCGGGATGCAGAAGCAAACGAGAGGATTGGCAGCTCCAGTGTGTTCTGCTTCCGGTGCGAAGAGAGATGGTAAGCGCATCAGGAGTTTGAAGAGTGATGTGGATGCATGGGAAATCGGGTCATGTTAGGAAAGGGAGGAGGGGGAGATAGAATATTAAGAGGGAAGTGAGAAAGACCCACCCTAGAATGATGAACTTTGTGCTTTAGCCTGATTCATAATAGAGGTATTTTTGGTTCCATTGACTGCACATAAAGTTATTACCATTGTGGGCATATTCCTAGAACAAATAAATATTTTATTCATGTTTACAGGCTTAGCTGGGATCTACAGTGGAGTACAAGGACATTTTTATATGGTATTTTTATAGAATTGCATGTGATGGGTCCTAATCAGGTTTATTAAATTGGACCCGTCAATAGCAAGTCTGCATGAATAAATTCCTGGGATGTTACCATATACAGCAACAGTGTATTTAAAAAAACTCCACCATTTATCATAAAAGAATCCCTTGAGTTCCAGTCAATGCCTATGCCAAAATGATGTCATCAATCTGCTGCACGCAGGTGGAACCATTTCCTCATTCTCATCTTCTACATTGATCAGACTGCTACATTGAAGCTTTGTAGCAAGTGACAAGCTAAGACGTTGCAGCAGGAGATTATCTGTGTAAAGACATTTATGAACACCCCCAAGAACTGCCAGAACCAGACTTTGCATGACTGTGTCATCTCTGAACAAGCATCTCAATTCAAGAAGCAGACAGTGACTCTGAATGATGCATGAACAAAGATGGCTCCATTTTCCTAGCAGGGAAAGGAAGGGGACTGCATGGTCAGGGGGAGTATAGGTGTTCCCACAGGTTTCCTTTATACTGTATTCTTGTTCCAGGGACAACCATACCATTTGGATTTTTCTATCGCCTGCAGTCCCCATAACAATAGCCACAAGCGCATGTAGAGATGTTAAATCTCCCCAGGGGTACAGGCAGAAATAATAACCTTATAGGGGATCTAACTCACCAAAACAATGTTGGCTTTGGGTACAGTGTCACTTTTCTGTGGGGACCAAAAGGGAACACTAAACCGGTCACAAATGTCCCTGCCCAAAGGAGCTTACAATCTAATTGTTCTACTGAAGCCTTTCACTCATTATCCTAGGAGTAAATTGTGAAGTGTAGATACCTTTTTGTCCCTTTAAAAAACAAAACTTAATTGTTAGTTCCCCCAACCTAGTTATTTTCAGCATATGTATTGCAGCATGTGTTAAACTTGAATCATCTTTACTGTTCCCTCTCATAATTTAGATCCATCTTTTTCTTCACCCCCTCTTTTTCCCCTCCTCCCCTCTCCATTTTCCTATATTGCTGTAATACCTTTACCATGCCTTTATATTAAAAACTACAAAAAACCCTTGGGATTTACTAGAGCAATCAAGATGCCTCATATTGTTCCTTGCAATAGTTCTACGCTTATGTGATGTCTTGTAACAGATGTAATTATTGCTGCTCACAAGGAATTTGTACTTCACTTATCTGCTTTGTACTGTATCTACTGCCAAGCTCAACTCTACAAAAATGTTAACTTTACAATAGTTTAAAGTATTATTTACAAAAACACAGGCATGAATTTACAATGCTATTAATAACATTCCTGAAACAGTGCTGAAAAACTAAAGGTTCACCATTGTTGAATCATTTCCCTAGTCCCCCCCGTCATGACTGTACTTCTCCAACATCTGGGCCTCTACTCTGTCTGCCACCTTGCCATTGCCTGATTGCCTTGCCCATAGATCTGAATGGAATGTTGAGTTTGGGGACGTAATTGTGTAGCCACAGGTTGCCTGGTACAAGATGTTTACCAACCCTCAGAGGAGATAAATACAAACCTATGGTGAGAGTTTTGGGGGGGGGGGGGGACAGCAATGGTGAACTTGTACCTTATTCACACAGAAAGTGAATGTTACCTAGGTCAAGATTTAAATTAATCCTTATCTGTTATATATGTCTGGTGTGTTGTTTTAGCTGGTATTCTCTTACAAACTTTTTTTTATTGTTTAGAATTATAAATGGTTACATTTCTATCAGGTTTTTTTTTTTGCTCCCTTTATCCTGTTGGGGAGATCTACCACCACTTCCTGTCAGAGAGACACAACAGGAAGTAAGAGGAAATTTTTCTAAAATGAGGGGAAATCTGCTTTTAGACAGTTGTCTCCAGAAAAGGTGTCCCCATTAGGAAATTTGCCCTTTATTCCTGTTTTAGGGACAACTGTAAAATTTGTATTTCCCATTATGTTCTGTATCGATGAATAATGATGAGCGAATGTGGTTTGTTGAACTGATCGTAAATTCTGGAATATGTAAATTTTAATCTGAATGCTATTGAAGTCAGGGGGACAGCAGAAGTTTAATAAAGCTCCTATACAGAGTGTACAAAACCCTTCAAAACCAAAGCTTCACGTTTCCAGAGATGAGGCAGTTTTATGCTGGAAAAAAAATT